ATCATCCTACATCGTTCACTGAACTGACATATCTTTTGAGTATCTACTGTGGAGCATAAAACCTCCCCATTTTCTGCCATCTCACAGGAACTTTCAATGGACAACATTCCTAAGCCTCTGAAACCCACTTCATAAAGTCAGAGGACTTCATGAGTGAAAACACATTCTCAGGCACAGAAATCAAGACGAGAGCTATAGCTTCAGTTTCTGCTCTTGGTATCAAGGTGATATTGAGGCTGTTTAATGATGGCTTTGAACAAATAAAACTGTTCTTGCTCTCAGGTAGAAGTCCAGAGATGGCCAGGTAAGGTGGCTCTGTGCCAATAAGTCCTTAGGAATCTAATTTCTTTCCAGATTCTTATCCCCGAACTGTAGCACTAGTACTCATGGTCCAGGATGTTGGCTGGAGCTCCAGCCATCACAGTTATCTTCAGAAAGCAGGATGGAAGTAAAAAACCAAGGGCATTCACCAGCTCTCCTCAGGAAGTGTCGTTGGAAACTACCAAACAAAGCTTCCATTGCCATCCTACTGGCTAGAATTTAGCCACAGGACACACCTAGCTGCAAGGAGGACTGAAAACAGAATATTTGCTCTGGGTCACCATGTGTAATCTTTTTATTATTATGGCATGATGGAGAGTAGATCCTGAGGAAGGCAAACCAGCAGTCTCTGCCATCGTGTGTCTGTTTGAAGTCAGATGATTGTCAAGAAAGTATTTGATGAATTAAAACATGCTCATCACTTTAGTCCCTGCATTCTGAGAATTATTTAAAATTTAATGGTGACTTCTCACATTCCATTCCCTCCCCAACCCCTGGGTATAAGGAGCTTTGTTCATGGTGTCGCTCACTGGCTACTTCAACAGCCAAGTCCTCTTGAAGTTCCCCAGCTGGAAAGACTCTCAGGGCTGCAAGGAGCCTTGCCTGCTGCTCTTGAACAATTTAGCTGTCAGTGGAGACTGGGAAACACAAGAAGCAGTGCATAAGAGGGAATAGCAAAGTTAGCAGAAGCAGCAAGAAAAATCACAGGGAGGCCATGGTTCATTGGAAAGTGTGAATCATTCATCTCATGAGCTTTTTCTCAAAGGGAAGAGCTTCAATTTCCTCAAGGTTTAATTACAGCAAATCCTAGACCTGAGGAATATTTGATCCAAGAAGTTGAGTCAGTATATTACCACCAGAGCATCTAGAAAATTAGCAAGTCAAAGAGGAAACTCGGCCTCTTTGGGGTCCTATTAGGCATCTGTTACCTGCTTTATAGGAATTCCCAGGTGGTACTCTGGAGCCAACTCATTGGAAAAGACCCTGATACTGAGAAAGATTGAGGGCAGGAGGAGAAGGGGGCGACAGAGGATGAGATGGTTGGATGTCATCACAGACTCAATGGACATGAGTTTCAGCAAGCCCCAGGAGATGGTGAAGGACAGGGAAGCCTGGCGTGCTGCAGTCCATGGAGTTGCAAGGATTTGGACACGACTTAGTGACTGAACAACGACTAGTAGTTCAGTGGTAAAGAATCTGCCTGCCAATGGAGGAGACGCAGGAGACACAAGTTTGATCGCTGGGTTAGCACATGGACAACGTCTTTGACTCCATGATCTGCATCTCCCTGGTGGTTCCCATCTGTAACCTCCTGGCCATTGCAGTCGACAGGTACGTCACCATCTTCTACATACTTTGCTACCACAGCATCATGACCATGTGGAAGGTGCTGGTCTTGATTGCGGCCATCTGGCTGGGCTGCAGGGTCTGCAGTGTGATGTTCATCGTCTACTCTGAGAGCAAGATGGTCATCGTGTGCCTGGTCAGCATGTTCCTTGCCACGCTGCTGCTCTTGGGCACCCTGTACGTGCACATGCTCCTCTTCGGCCTGCTTCACATCAAGCGCATCGCTGCACTGCTGCCCGCCGATGGGGTGGCCCATTGGCCAGCAGCACTTGTGTGTGAAGGGGGCAGTCACCATCAACAGCCTGCTGGGGGGTCTCCATCTTCTTCTGGGCCCCCTTCTATCTCCACCCTGTCCTCATTATAACCTGCCCCACCAACCCCACTGTGTCTGCTACACCACCCACTTCAACACCCACCTGATCTTCATCATGTGCACCTCCATCATCAACCTGCTGATCTATGCTTTCTGGAGCCTGGAGCTGTGCAATACCTTCAAGGGGATCCTCTGTAGCTGAAGGTGGGGCCATGGGAAGGGTACTCAGTCTGGGCACCTTCGACCTTCCAGCCAGCCCAGGGGTTTAGCAGGAAGGGAGAAAACTACTTAAAATACATAAAAAATGTGTTATTAGCCATGATCCTATGTGTCTTTTGTTTTTAAGCTTGCAGGGAGCCTTTTGAAAGGGAAAAATGGATATAACAGGCTTTCTGAAAAGATGCCCACGTGCTGTGCGATTGTGTTAAGTCACTTTAGTCATGTCCGACTCTTTTGTGACCCTGTGGACTATAGCCCACCCGGCTTGTCTGTCCATGGGATTTTCCAGGCAAGAATACTGGAGTGGGTTGCCATTTCCTCCTCCAGAGTTCTTCCTGACCTAGGGATCAAACCTGTCTCCTGTGTCTCCTGCATTGCAGGCGGATTCTTTACCGGCTTAGCCATGGGTAAGTCACAAACTCTGATTTCTTGAATAGTCACTGGTGGGGGAGGACCTGTGGGGGCTGCTTGGGTTCTGTCTGAATTCATTTTCACGCATCCAGGGTCTGTGATGCTTCCCACTCACTCCTTCATGTTTCAGGTCAGACAGACTGAAGGATTTGCAGTAACAGTAAGGGTGGCTGAAATCTCCCTCAAGCAAATCTGTTACAGCTACCAACACCTAGCTGCCAGCTGCTCAAATAGCTTTGCCCTCATCTCATAAGAGACTGAGTTTCTCATCTATTATTCTATTTACAGTAAAACAACTTCCTAAAAACAGCAACCTCTTTGTGGGAGAAGTAATACTATGCTGTTTGCCCCTCTTCTTAACTCCATGCCCCCCCCCCCCAAATTGCGTGGGAATGGAACCCACTTCTATTTTTGTGTTATTGATATTGTTTTTGTTGTTGTTGGGTTTGTAAGCATTCAACACAGGGCAGCTTGCAAGACTCTAATGAAAGAGAAGTACAGTGCTTTGGAGAATCAGAACATACCTGTGTACAAAGTACTTTGATATCTTGCTATTTTACGGCATACATTTCCCTATTTCAAAAAGGCAATTTTTCCTATGATTCCTTTTCTGTCTTTAAAATAAGAGAGGGAATCGTGGGTGGGAGGACATGTGTTTTAGGAAACCGCTGGATTGTAGTTTCAGGGAGTTAAACTCTGAGCTGCCTATGGTTTTCTTGGAAGCTGTTTTGTTCATAAGAACTGAGTCTCTATCACAGGTTTTCTATTTGCTGTGATCTATGAAGGAGGATGGTTTCTAATTCACAGGTCCTTTTGTTCGACATGGTGTTACTGTTGGGTGACCCTATTATCAAGATCTATACCGTATCAAATAAGATGATTCACTCCTGTGACCTCAGGGCAAGCTTTGCTGATGAACGCTGTCCAAAGCTGTGTGCTGCATGCATCCATCAGACCCACTTCCACCCCAGGGGACTTTGGACTGTGCTTTCTGGATGTCCCCACGTCCCGCTCTCCCGTGAATTCTCACATTGTGCTGTGTCTTCGGTATATAACTGTGTTCTTCTTGTGCTGTGATGTTTTGGGGTTTTTGTATTTTATCTGTGCTAATGTGAACAATATGATTTGTTTCTCACTTTGGTTGTGATGTTTGAAAATAATTAAAGGCTTTTGTGGCTGATAAACATGTGTCACATTGAATTATACCACCTGGAAGCATCCTACTGGCTTCTGCTTGTGGCCATCGTTCGTGACATTGCAATTCCATGACTATTTTGTCAATGGTATAAACATCCCCTTGACCACACTGCTGGTCTTTTCTAGGGTAATGCTATTTTACCAAACTACAAAACTCTCCCATTTAGTTTCCAAACATACCAGGCTGAAATTCCTGGGCCACTGTCACTCTGCATTATTGTAATCAAGACACCAAATAATAGGTCTTTGCCACTCGTCAAATTAACATGGAAGATGGGGAATTGAATTCTTTGAAAATGGTATTGACAGCCATAGGGATTATGATGTCTTTTTTCTATGTAAACAAGATAAAATAACATACTTTTCACTCTTTTATATTACTTTTCATATTAAAGTCTCCAACATAGGTGAGTCACCTCACAGATGAAAAAACTTCATTCCAGAGGGGTTATGTGACTGCCCCAAAATGCCAGCTAAATCAGGGTCACTGTATATTTTGTGCCCTGGAGCTGATGTCTTTTTGCACCAACATGATGCTGCCGACAGGTTTCCATATCAAAACAGACCCAGCTGCCCTTTCTATGTACCTTTTAACTGAGAGCAGTGCTTCTGAACAGAAATGCCTGCTGGAATCACCATGGATCTTGTTCAAGTGCTAAAGCTAATTCAACAGGTTGGGAGTGGAGCCTAAGATTCTGAATTTCTTTTTTTTTATCCTTTATTTTTAATTGGAGTATAATTGCTGTATGATGTTGTGTTAGTTTCTGCTGCACAACCATGTGAGTCCGCTATAAGTATATTTATATCCTCCCTCTTGAGCCTCCCTCCCACCCCCTACCATCCCACGCCTCCAGGTCATCACAGCACCAAACTGAGCCCCTTGAGCTACACAGCAGCTTCCCACTAGCTATTGTCCATATGGTAGTGTCCATATGCTAATGTTCTTCTCTCAGATTCTGAATTCTGACTCTGACAAGCTCCCATAGGATATGGCTACTGGCCTGGGGACCTCCTTTTAAATAGCAGGGACACAGAGCACTTATACATGAGCACAGTGCACAGCCAAAAATACACATCTGCATGCAGAGCTGACCCCATGCCAGGAACTGGGCTAAGTTCTTTACAGGCACTCACTTCTTTGATCTCTGCATAACCTCTTGAGGCAAATACTAGGCTCATCCTTATTTTACAGATGAGGCACCTGAAACTCAGGAGTCTATAGAAACTCAGCTACAAGTGGAGAAGTGGAGATTCAAACTTGGGGTGCCCACCCACACCCCAAGTCCAACCTGGACACCCTAGCACCTCTCCTGAAAACAGCATCATTGAACCGTGGCCCAGTGACCCCAGAGGGTCATTGCTGCCATGGAGGGAGGCTTTAAGGACTATTTCTACAACCAGGAGTCGATATGTTCATAACAGAGCTTCCATCAAGCTGTCATAAAAACCAAGAAGACAATTCATCGTTTTACTTGCTATCCTCTTCCAGAGTCTGTGGGTAGCCCTGGGAGTGCAACCTTTTCTGGAGTAGATGACCCTGGACGTCATGCTGCCACTGTCTCCCCCATGACCACTTTCCCAGACCGTCATGGAAACCCACTGTGCATTTTAAGCAGGGGAACAGTCAGGTTCAAAAAATGCTTACTTTTTGGAAATAAAAGTACACTGTGATCTTCATTCATTTGTTGGACTCACTTTCATCCTCTATCTCTAAGGCAGAATCACAGCAGGTGTTGACTTATGGCACCCCTAGAAATCATCACCTGTGGTCCTTATTTAAGTTGAACTTTTGAGCTTAATTGTGATGACTTTCTATGACTTTCTATAGGGTTTGGGGTCCCAAAGAGTCTGACATGACTTAGCGACTAAACAACAACAACATCCCAGAACAATGTAAATCCAGGAACTGGAAAGAAACAGTTCACAAAATGAAGAAAACAAGCAAACCCTTCAAATGAAGAACTCAACCTTTCTCACATAAGAACACTTAAATGAGAGTCAAATAAGTAAGTGACAATAATAATAAAATGCATTACCTGATATTATTATGTGCCAGACATTGGACTAAGCACTTAGGTATATTAACTCACTGAATTCTCATGAAAACCTTATGAGGTAATAAGCACTATTAAAATCTTGTCCTGTAGAAAAAGAAACTTATTAATAAGATCATGGAGGAGGTTAATCATCCAGACTCGAGCTACTCAGAATTCGAGGAGCAGAGCTGGGACTCAGCCCACAGTCAGGCTCCTTGGTCCATGGGTTGCCCAGGTACCCATTGTGTGATGAAGCATGTGGCCTGTGGCGACCCTCTTCAGGTTTGAAGGGACTCCAGCAGCTCTCAGACCCAATAGGGAACTTTGTGTCCTTTCTAATGAAAGTATTAATAATGAATATACAGAAAAATCCTTACATATTCTCCTTTTTGCCATCTTTTCATCAGGTGACACAGAAAGCCTCTTTACCCGCAGAGCCAGCAGTTGAGTGGATAGTGGGAAGCAGCTAATGATGTGAGTTGCTCAAGCCAAAGAATTGCATTTCCCGTGAAATACCTGGATAATTGGCTCATTTCCCTGAATGTTATATAGAGCACAGGTCTGACCCAAAAAACAGATACTGAGAAAGAAGAAAGGAAGATTCTTTCTTGGTTTCTAATTGCAGGAAGGAAAGAATCCTTCCCTGTGTGTGTTCCGTTCATGTGGTGACATGTGCTGGATTTTAAAGGGTTGGCACTTTCATGCATCATCAGAGAAAACAGAAGAGCAATGTCACTGATGGTCGTTAGGATGGATGCCACAAGAAGTGCTTCGAAGAACTCTCTTTATCAGGAAATAAAACGGTTTTCCCCTCTCTGAAAACACTGGGGGTGTCAACAGAGGAAACTGAACTGGAATTCAGGAGAGCCTGGGACCCAGCGTGTCTCTAGACTGGTGTGGCCGTGAGCAAGTCTGTCACTGTCTCTGGGCTTCAGTCAGGCATCTCTGCAGCTGACAGAACCGGATGCGATGGAGGTTTTCAGCTTTGCCCCTGTCCATGGCGGTCCCAGGTGACTGCTGCCGCAGGACTGCGAATCAGGTGACTCAGACCCCACTCACCATCAGCCACAGGGAGGTGCCTGGTCCACGAGTCCACCACAGCTGGGGAACAGCAGCCCCATGTGGCCCAAGGCAGCCCGGGGAGACTCTCAGAACTCGAACTACTGAGAAAGAGCGGTCCCCCTTCCCATGGACCACTGGGTACCAAGTTGCATGGGACTGCAGGAGTGGTATCTGAGGATGAAGCCACCATCAAAGAAAGCAGGAGGCAGACGAAAGGGATAGGATGCCGGCTGTTCTCATTTGCGCACCTGCCTCCAGCTACGCCTGAAGTTAGTCCTATGCCTGGACTTTCTGTTAGGAGCTCCTGTCATTTGTAAACAGTATCATCGTGACAAATACAGAGGCCCTTGGGGGTGGGGTGGAACAAGATGGGGAGGCAGGTGGGGAAAGGGGAGAAGAGAGAGGCAGAGACTGAGAAGAGAGAAGGGCTGCAAGCTCAGGGAGACATTCTCCTGTGATCTGACTTACATATTGGGTTTACATATAAGATGCAATGTTCAAAAAGAATTAGCTAGAAGTGAAAACAAAAACTACTAGAAGAGAAGATTCAAGGGAACTTGCGGTTTGCCTTCCTGTTTTACTGAAGATAAGGCAAGCAGAACTGCCCAGAAATGTTTCTAATTAGGGTATGAAAAAAAGCAGAAATCTAGACAACGAAATCAACAGTTCCAGTGCTGTGTGTCGCTCACCCCCTCCTTGACCCCTTGATCTTTAGATGAACCCAGATTGAGCACTTCTGGTCTGATTCCATAACTAAAGAATGCAAGGATGCTAACACAATCTGGGTTTTCTGGGCAGCCTCTTCCAGAGGGAAAGACGTGCCTTTGTCAGAGGGTGATGGGCAGCTAGATGCAGGTCATGCAGCACAACCCACAATAAATAAATAAAATTAATTTTAAAAAAGATGTTAGGCTTCAAGGATCCCACTCAGCACATAAAATATTTACTCGCTTCAAAGTCTACCTTTTCTTCTTCACATCTCGCTCCCTCAGTCTCTTCTGTCATCACAAGTATCTGTCCAGTGTTTAATGTAGACCAGGAACTGTATGCCAGGGGCAGGGGAGGCCACGTCCTCAGAAAGGCTGGGGACCAGAAGAGACTGCCCTGGACAAGCAAGGTCTGGATCTCCTTTCAAAGTGGGAGACTGCAGCGAAAGAAACAGAGAGCCCTGGGCAGGCTGATCTTTTCAGCGTGTGTCTCCTTGACCTAATCATCTCTCCATCCTGAGCCTTAGTTTTCTCATCTGTGTCACAGGAATGGATCTTGTTCTTATCAGCTTTCGTGAGGGGGTAAGGAACAAGAGTTCCAAGTAGATTTTAAATTGCTCGGACTTCCATCCCAACCTCAGATCAACTCCCCAGCAGAGGAAGAGAGAAGGAAGCAAAGATCCAGGGAAAAGACAAACAAACCTCTCCCTGTGTTCAAAGACTCAGCCAGAAACACTTAAACAGGTAAGAATCTGCTTCACCTCTCTTAGGAACAAGAGACAGCTTGTTACTCTCGTGTTTTTAAATCTAATTCTGATGACCTCAATGTATTCCAAGCAAGAGGAGAGTCAAGACTGTGAAAAGCGCGCAAAAAAAAAACACATCTAAAACGCGCTTTAAAAAAAAAAGAGAAAAAAATATAAAAATATGTCCCCCCACACATCGGGACACAAAAGAGGCCACAACAAAAATCTCCCCCACAAGAAAAATGACCCCCCCTTGAACTCTCTCGGACACAGCTTTTTTTTTTTCTCTTCCACAGTGTGGACCCAATAGCACCAGACTTCTATCAAATCACTGACTCCAGTAGAAAACCAACTTCTCTGTCCCAGTCCTCTCCCTATCCATGCCCCACCACCCAAAAGAGAAAAACTTCAGACCCGTTAAATTAAATCATAGGCCCACCCCTATCTCTAAGTTAATCACTGTGGCAACTGCATGTGCTCAGGCTTGGATGAAACTCCCACCTGGGAGCTGGGACAGGGCCATCAGCTGTGTAGGGGGTGAGATTGTGGGAGGAGGTCCCACACCAGACACCTGAGTGCTGTTTCCAAAATGAGGCACTGTCCACTCCCCACTCACCCTCCAGCTCTATCCCCAGTACTTTTGTAGGCTTGATTTGCAGAATCCACTCATCTTGCCAGTTTCCTGGAATCTTGTCCTTCCCTTAAGATACACTTGACAGGGATTTTCCTGGTGGTCCAGTGGCTGGGGTTCCACGCTCCCATTGTAGGAATCTTGGGTTCAAAGCCTGGTCAAGGAACTGGATCCCACATGTTGCAGCTAAGAGTCCCCATGCTGCAAATAAAGATCCTGCATGCCACAACTATGACCTAGCACAGCTAAATAAATGTTTTAAATATATATATATATACTTGATAATTTCTAGGTAACTCAATACATTTCTGGGCTTCCCAGGTGCCTACATGCCTGCCTGCTTAGTCACTCAGTCATGTCCAACTCTCTGTGACCCCATAGCCTGTAGCCCACTAGGCTCCTCTGTCTGTGGGATTCTCCAGGCAAGAATACAGGAGTCGGTTGCCATTCCCAGGTGGCTCAGTGGTAAAGAATCCACTTGCAACGTAGGAGACACAGGTTCAATCCCTGGGTCAGGAAGGTCCCCTAGAGAAGGAAATGGCCCTTCTCCAGTATTCTTGCTTGGGAGATCCCATGGGCAGAGGAACCTGGTGGGCTATAGTCTATGGGGTCACAAAAGAGTCTGACATGACTTAGTGACTAAACAACAACAACACATTTTCAGGTGACTCTTAGCACATTCATTCTAAACTTCTCAAATATCCTTAAAAGACCCTATGCAAAAACACAAATATACATGCCAGAAAAGAGACTTCATTTTGTATCAGGCCAACCTACAGTCTGCTTTTTCTAGTCCTTTGCTTCTAACATTCAGGGCTTATATAAGCTAATTTGCTGAATTGCTTGTCTCTCATCCCTAGTCTTGTCCTTGGTTTCCCAATACCAAGAGGGGGCAGCTTTGAATTTTCTGGGCCACGGCCCTCCTAAGAACTAACGGAGTGCATGAGTATTATGAATCAGACAGAAATATATGTAAACAGCATCTTAACACTTAAAACAGTAGTATGAACTGACACATGAAGCAGAGCAAGCCAAGTTGGCATTCAGGGACCACCCAGAGGGATAGTGTTGGGAGGGAAGGGAGAGGGGGTCTCACGATGGGGGCTCACGATGGGTGGGACACATATATACCTGTGGCCAATTCATGCTGATATATTGCAAAAACTGTCACAATATTGTAAATAATTATTCTACAATTAAAATAAGAATCATGACCTAAATATCACTTTCATTTTGAAACTTTTCTCCTCTGTACAGATTATTATTATTAAAAATAAATATTATTCATGCAAATATTCTAGCAGCATTGTTTGGTGTAGCCCAAACATGGAAAAGAAACAGTTAGAACCCTGTATGGAACAACTGATTGCTTCAAGATTGAGAAAGGAGTATAACAGGGCTGTCTGTTGTCACACTGTTTGTTTAATCTATATGCTGAGTACATCATGAGAAATGCTGGGCTGAATGAGTTACAAGCTGGAATCAAGATAGGCAGGAGAAATATCAACAACCTCAGATATGTGTATGATATCACTCTAACGGCAGAAAGTAAAGAGGAACTAAAGAGCCTCTTGATGAGGGTGAAGGAGGAGAGTGAAAGAGCTGGCTTAAAACTAAATATTAAAAAAAACTAATATTGTGTCATCCAGTCCCATTACTTCATGGCAAATAGAGGGGGAAAATAGAAGTAGTGACAGATTTCCTCTTCTTGGGCTCTAAAATCACTGCAGATAGTGACTGTAGTCATGAAATCAGAAGACATTTGGCTCTTGGAAGGAGAGCGATAACAAACCTAGACAGTGTGTTAAAAAGCAGTGACATTACTCTGCTGACAAAGGTCCACATAGTCAAGGCTATGGTCTTCCCAGTGGTCATGTATGGTTGTGAAAGCTGGACCATAAAGAAGGCAGAGTGCCAACGAATTGATGCCTTCAAACTGTGGTGGCTGGAGAGTCCCTTGGAGAGCAAGGAGATCAAACCAGTCGATCTCTGGATTCAGTCAACCATGAATACTCTTTGGAAGGACTGATGCTGAACCTGAAACTCCAGTATTTTGATCATATGATTCGAACAGCTGATTCATTGGATACGTCCCTGATGCTGGGAGAGATGAAGGGCAGAAGGAGAAGAGAGCATCGGAGGATGAGGTGCCTGGATGGCATCACCGATGCAATGGACATGAACTTGGGCAAACTTTGGGAGAGGTGAGGGACAGAGAGGCCTGGCTTGCTGCAGTCCACAGGGGTCTGTAGGGTCACAAAGAGTTGGACACGACTGGGTGACTGAATAACAACAATAAAAAGTGGAAAAACCCAAATGTCCATCAACTGATAGAGGGATAAACAACAATGTGGCACATTTGTACAATGAAATATTAGCCACAAAATGGGATGAACTACATTTATAATATGGACAACCTCAAAAATAGTATGTCTAGTGAAGAACCAGACACAAAAGATGAGATTTTCTATTACTCCATTAATACAAAAATATCTAGGAAAGGCAAATTCATAGAAACAGAAAGTAGATCCCTGGTTACCTGGAGCTGGAGTTAGGGATGAGGATTAACTGTAAAAGACAAAAGAGATCTAATTGGGGTGACAGAAATACCCTAACACTGGATTGTGGTGTTATTGGATGTGATGTAAGAAATCAATATTTGGTCTTTGTCCCTGGTTCCTGGGACATGACTCCTAAAATCCTTGGTGTCTCTGGGGTGATGAGTGGTCTAGATGGCTTCAGGAAGGAGACTAATAGCCAAATAACTCATGTTGGGGGCCCCTAGATGGCTTTAGGAAGGAGGCTAGTAAGCACGACTACAGGGTTGTGCTGACCTCCAGAGAGGACAGAGGAGCTAACAGTGAGTTAATCACCACTGGCTAATGATTTACTCAATCAGAACTACGTAATGGATGCTCCATAAAACCCCAAACATCAAGGCTCAGGGAGCTTCCAGACTGGTGAAAACACCAAGGTGTTGAGAGAGTGACACGCCCAGAGAGAGGATGGGAACTCAGCGCCCCTCCTGCATACCTTGCCCCTATGCCCACACGATTGCTCCTTTACCATAAACCAGTCATAGTACGTTCCTGCATTCTCCGAATCCCTCTAGTGAGTTATCACACCTGAGGAGGGGGATGTTGCAGGAATCCCCATGTATAGCTCGTCAGTGAGAAGTACAGGTGACAACCTGAGATTTGAGACTGGCCTCTAACATGAGGACTGTCTGTGTGACTGAGCCAAGGAACTGCTGCAGGGGGCAGGCGGATTGGCTGTGGCGGGGGCCGGGGCACTGCTCCTGGAGGAGGGGAGCTGCGTGCCTTTGACGGTTTGGCCCCCTGCGGCGGGCGCAGAGCACTCTGACTATCGCAAGAACCAGAGCGTCCAGTTTAGCCGCCAGTTGGGTCGTCGTGCTCGCTGCCTACAGACGCTCGGAAGCTCCAGCCGGCCTGCGTCCCTATCTGCCCGCCGAGTCGCCGGTCGGGTGAGCGTTCCTGCGCGTCCAAAGGTCCTGGGAAGCCGTGCTAGGGAGTCTGGGTGCCCTCGGACCCTTGTCTGTGGCTCCCGGCTTTGGGATGGGGTATGGCCGCGGTGTTCGACTGGCGGTTGGTCTCCCGGGAAGAATCCGCGCCCTCCCCACCCCAACCGTCAGTCTAGGTGCGCTTAGGGCGGGCCAGGGCGGCAGCAGGGGATGGCAGGGCCCTAGCAGCCCAGGGCGCCCAGCCCCCGCCGGCGGCCCACAGCCCGCAGACAATGGCCAGAGGAAACTGACCGCAAGTCTGGGGCCGGGCGGGAGGGGGCTTTCCCAGAGGGCCAGCAGGGGCCCGAGGCAAGGGGGCGGGGACCTGGGCGCCCCGGTATTTTCCAAGGCACTGGGCACGGGCGGGGGCAGGGTAAACGGCCCCACACCAGCTGAGAGGGAGGCCCACACGTGGCGGTTGATGTAAAAGGCCGCTCCGACACCTCGCACCCGGATTAAGGCGCCGGCTTCGAGGAACCGGGGCTCTCCAGGTGGTGCTACAGCTTCCGAAAGCGCCCTCGCCTTTTCCTGCGGTTCAGGGGCCTCGTCTCAGCTTCGTAAGAAGCCGCGCCCCCTTTCGGGCCAGTTCTCCGTAGGCCATGTCCCCTCGCTGGCCACTGTTAAAGGAGCCGTGTCCCTGTCTCTCTGACAGCTCTCCTAAGGCTTAGGTCTGTTTCTTTGCTGAAATAAGCTTGATGCTGCAGCTGCAAGAAGAGCAAGGTTGGGGGGCCGAAGAGTGGAGAAGGGCCTGAGAGGTTAAAGAACCCCAAAGTGAAGGAGTGTCAGAAGATTGGAGGGTAGTGGGTGAGGGGGACTGGTTCTAGAAAGGGACTAATGGGCGACACTGAGCATGCCCAAGTGTTTCCAAGCACCGCCCGGAAACGCCCCCTTAAGTCGGCCTACACTGTGGCTGAGGCTCAGTGCCCAGCTCTGAGGAAGCAGAAGAATCACACTTCTGCCCTGGGATCTCTCCAGCTGGTGGGGAAGGCAGATGTGGACACAAGTATCCACGCTACAATGGCTGCGTGTGAGGAACGTGTCGATCAGAGGTACACTGCGTGCATTGGGTGTAACCGGGGCCACAGTGGAAAGACTGCAAATGCAAGAGGAAGGTAGGCTTCTTGGTGGTGATGTCTTTGGAACAGGTTTTAAAGATGGGTGGAGTATGTTCAGAAGGAAATGGGGACAAGGGTGCTCAAGGAAGAGGGAGTTGCCTAAGCCATGGAGTGAAGGCAGATAGTCCCACATGGCCCGCAGGTGGCCTTAAGTGGTTGTAGGTAGCTGATTTTGGCTCAAGGTGGAACTAAGGGCTCTCCCCTACTCCCACAGTCCCTCCCCTTTCTCCGTCACAGTGAATGGGAAATTATGCTTCCTCTTCTATCTTTTTCCTAAACTGTCAGGTTCTTGAAGGCAGGGAAAATACCTTGTCACCTTTCCATCCCCAGTATGGACTTCAAGGCTTGACTCAGATGGACCCTTAAAATTGACAGACCTGACAGTCCTGTTTGGAGGAGAGGAAGACTGAGCAATGAGACTGTAAAGATGGACCAGGTCCTGTGACTATCCTCTCCCTATCCTCCCTTGGGTGGCTCCTCGGCTACTTCAACCCAGCTCACCCCACCTAGTTCATCCTCTCCCCACTCCAAACCTGCAGCATTCCCAGCGTTTCTGTCTCTGGTCTCTGGGACGGGCACTGGCTTCTTCCTATTACACCATTGGAAACCAGAGACCCCTCCTTATCCCGCACCCCCAGTCCAATGCATCACCAAGTCCTACCAAAGTTCCCTTCTATATTTTTCTCCAATCTGTGCACCTCTCCCCACCCCGTCACCACCTTCCTGAGTCAAGCCCCCTCATTCCTGGCCTGGCCTAGTCCTAATCAATTTCCTTTCTTCCCCTCTTCCTTCCCTCAGGTCCTTTCTCCATACTAAACTAGGTTGGTGCTTTCAAAATGCACACACCCCCAATTGCTCCTCCTCTCTGTTATAACTTAGGTTTAAAGACTTCAGTGGATGCCCAGGAGTGGGATTGCTGTGTCATATGGCAGTTCTATTTCCAGTTTTTTAAGGAATATCCACACTGTTCTCCATGGTGGCTGTACTAGTTTGCATTCCCACCAATAGTGTAAGAGGGTTCCCTTTTCTCCACACCCTCTCCAGCATTTATTGCTTGTCGACTTTTGGATAGCAGCCATTCTAACTGGCGTGTCATGGTACCTCATTGAGGTTTCGGTTTGCATTTCTCTGACAATGAGTGATGTTGAGCATCTTTTCATGTGTTTGTTAGCGATCTGTTTGTCTTCGTTGGAGAAGTGTCTGTTTAGATCTTTGGCCCATTCTATGATTGGGTCATTTATTTTTCTGGAATTGAGCTGGAGGAGTTGCTTGTACATTTTTGAGATTAATCCTTTGTGTTGCTTCGTTTGCTGTTGTTCTCTCGCATTCTGAAGGCTGTCTTTTCACCTTGCTTCTAGTTTCCTTTGTTGTGCAAAAGCTTTTAAGTTTCATTAGGTCCTGTTAGTTTATTTTTGCTTTTCTTTCCAATATTCTGGGAGGTGGGTCATAGAGGATCCTGCTGTGATTTATGTCGGAGAGTGTTTCACCTATGTTCTCCTCTAGGAGTTTTATAGTTTGTGGTCTTACATTTAGGTCTTTAATCCATTTTGAGTTTATTTTTGTGTATGGTATTAGAAAGTGTTCTAGTTTCATTCTTTTACAAGTGGTTGACCAATTTTCCCAGCACCACTTGTTAAAGAGGTTGTCTTTTTTCCATCGTATAGCGTTGCCTGCTCTGTTGAAGATAAGATGTCCATAGGTTCGTGGATTTATCTCTGGGCTTTCTATTCTGTTCCATTGATCTATATTTCTGTCTTTGTGCCAGTACCATACTGTTTTGATGACTGTGGCTTTGTAGTAGAGCCTTAAGTCAGGCAGGTTGATTCCTCCAGTTCCATTCTTCTTCTCAAGATTGCTCTGGCTATTCGAGGTTTTTTTATTTCCATACAAATTGTGAAAGTATTTGTTTTAGTTCTGTGAGAAATACTGTTGGTAGCTTGATAGGGATTGCATTGCATCTATAGACTGCTTTGGGTAATATAGCCATTTTCACAATATTGATTCTTCCAATCCATGAAGACAGTCTATTTCTCCATCTGTTTGTGTCCTCTGTGATTTCTTTCATCAGTGTTTCGTAGTTTTCTATGTATAAGTCTTTTGTTTCTTTAGGTAGATATACTTCTATGTATTTTATTCTTTTTGTTGCAATGGTGAATGGTATTGTTTCCTTAATTTCTCTGTTTTCTCCTTGTTAGTGAATGCAAGGGATTTCTGTGTGTTAATTTTATATCCTGCAAGTTTACTATATTCATTGATTAGCTCTAGTAATTTTCTGGTAGAGTCTTTAGGGTTTTCTATGTAGAGGATTATGTCATCTGCAAACAGAGTTTTCCTTCATCTTTTCCTCTCTAGATTCCTTTTATTTCTTTTTTTCTGCTTTGATTGCTGTGGCCAACACTTCCTAAACTATGTTGAATAGTAGTGGTGAGAGTGGGCACCCTTGTCTTGTTCTTGACTTTCAGGGAAATGCTTTCACTTTTTCCCCATTGAGGATAATGTTTGCTGTGAGTTTGTCATACATAGCTTTTATTATGTTGAGGTATGAACCAGATGTGAAAGAGACACATGCACCCTAATGTTCATTGCAGCACTGTTTATAATTGCCAGGACATGGAAGCAACCTAGATGGCCATCAGCAGACGAATGGATAAGGAAGCTATGGTACATATACAGCATGGAATATTACTCAGCCATTAAAAAGAATTCATTTGAATCAGTTCTAATGAGATGGATGAAACTGGAGCCAATTATACAGAGTGAAGTAAACCAGAAAGATAAAGACCAATTCAGTATACTAACGCATATATATGGGATTTAAAAAGATGGTAACGATAACCCTATATGCAAAACAGAAAAAGAGACACAGATGTACAGAACAGACTTTGGGACTTCGTGGGAGAAGGCAAGGGTGGGATGTTCTGCGAGAATAGCGTTGAAACAGGCATACTATCAAGGGTGAAACAGATCACCAGCCCAGGTTGGATGCATGAGACAAGTGCTCAGCGCTGGTGTGCTGGGAAAACCCAGAGGGATGGGATGGGATGGGATGGGATGGGGAGGGAGGCAGGAGGGGGGATCAGGATGGGGAACACATGTAAATCCATGGCTGATTTATGTCAAGGTATGGCAAAAACCACCACAATATTGTAAAGTAATTAGCCTCCAACTAATAAATGAAAAAAAAAAAAATCAGTGGCTGTCATTGCCCTCAGGATAGAGATCAAAACAAGTCTCCCAAGACCCTGACCCTGCTTTTGCATCCACCTTCATCTTTGGCCACTTTCTCCCTCATTCTCTGAGCCCCAGGCTCCTGGTCTTTTTCTGTATTATTTCATTCGCTTGAATCTCTCTTCCTCTTCTGTTGCTGACTGTTGCCTGATCATCCCCCTCTGAATCTCAAACATCACTTCTTCAGGAAAGTCCTCTCTAGCTCTCAGACAAGGCCAGGCCCCACTGGTGTAGACTCTGGTTAAAGAGGATCTTTCACTTTTGCACCCTTTATCGTACTTGAATTGTATGCATTTGAGTCACCTGTTTCACTGGTTTCTGTTTCCACCCAGCCTGTAAGCTGCAGGAGGCCAGAGACTAAAGAGTTCATGGGGCCCAGCACAGGTCTGGCCCAGAGCAAGCCCAAAATAAATATTTTTGGAATAAATGATTTGAACTGTGGCCAGCCCTGACTGCCTGCTGGACAATTTAGGCCTGCTGCACAATTTAGGAAAACAATAGAATGGAAAAGATTCGAGATCTCTTCAAGGGAATTAGAGATAGAGATACCAAGGGAACATTTCATGCAAAGATGGGATCAATAAATGACAGAAATGCTATGGACCTAACAGAAGCAGAAGATATTAAAAACATTTGACAAGAATACACAGAAGAACTGTACAAAACAAGATCTTCATGACCCAGATAATCATGATGATGTGGTCACTCACCTAGAGCCAGACATCCTGGAATGTGAAGTCAAGTGGGCCTTAGGAAGCATCACTACAAGCAAAGCTAGTGGGGGTAATGAATTCCAGTTGAGCTATTTGAAATCCTAAAAGATGATGCTGTGAAAGTGCTGCAGTCAATATGTCAGCAAGCTTGGAAAACTCAGCAGTGGCCACAGGACTGGAAAAGGTTAGTTTTCATTCCAATCCCAAAGAAAGGCAATGCCAAAGAATGCTCAAAGTACTGCACAATTGCACTCGTCTCACACACTAGTCAAGTAATGCTCAAAATTCTCCAAGTCAGGCTTCAGCAATATGTGAACCGCGACCATCCAGATGTTCAAGCTGGATTTAGAAATGGCAGAGGAACCAGAGATCAAAATGACAACATCCGCTGGAACATCGAGAAAGCAAGAGAGTTCCCGAAAAACATGAAGCACAAGCTGGACTCAAGATTGCTGGGAGAAATGACAATAATCTCAGATATGCACATGACACTGTCCTTATGGCAGAAAGCAAAGAAGAACTGAAGAGCCTATTGATGAAGGTGAAAGAGGTGAGTGCAAAAGTTGGCTTTAAACTCAACATTCAGGAAACTAAGATCATGGCATCTGGTCTCAACCCTTCATGGCAAATAGGTGAGGAACAGTGGCAACCGTGACAGACTTTATTTTGGGGGGCTCCAATATCACTGCAGATGGTGACTGCAACCATGAAATTAAAAGACACTTGTTTGCTTCTTGGAAGAAAAGTTATGACCAACCTAGGCAGCATATTAAAAAGCAGAGACACTACTTTGCCAACGAAGTCCATCTAGTCAAGGCTATGGTTTTTCCAGTAGTCATGGATGGATGTGAGAGTTGGACTATAAAGAAAGCTGAGCGCTGAAGAATTGATGGTTTTGAACTGTGGTGTTGGAGAAGACTCTTAAGAGTCCCTTGGACTGCAAAGAGATCCAATGAGTCCACCCTAAAGGAGATCAGTCCTGAATATTCCTTGGAAGGACTGATGCTGAAGCTGAAACTCTAGTACTTTGGCCACCTGATGCGAAGGGCTGACTCATTTAAGAAGACCCTGATGCTGTGAAAGATTGAGGTCAGGCTGAGCAGGGCACAGAGGGGTCAATAAAACACCTCCAGTGCCTCAGGGAACTGCCCAACCCACAGTTGACAGACATAAGCACATCTGTCTAGAGTGAGTTTATAAGAACATTGGTCGCACAAAACACCAAAGAGGAAGCAATTTGTTCCTTCTGGAGCGGAGTGGGGGCCATGTCAGGAAAAGCAGCAGAGGAGAAGTGACACTGAAGCAGGGTCCCAAAGGCTTTGTGGAATGTCACCAGGGGAGCAGGAGGGAAGGTGTTGGGCAGGGTCCCGCCTGAGCAAGGGCATGGAGGCGTGCCTGCACATGCTGTGTTTGCTGTGCCCAGAGCTTCTGGTCCAAGTGAGTGATGTAAGTCCAGATGCCGGGAGCCCAGGCTGAGCATCATCAGGATAGGGAAGGCCCATTCTGGCTGCCTGGCTGGGGCGAGGTGGAGGAGCAGGTGCTGATCCAAGCTGACTCCCCTTCAGGGGAAAGGTTGAGGCCATTCACACAGACGATGAAGGCATTGGACCCTATCCCAGTTCTGTGTTCATTTTTTAAATTATTTTGTAATCAAATTGGGCATCTGGAGAGTCAAAAATAAACCTTTGCCCATTGAGATAGGAAGCCTGGAGACCAAGGGTTTCAGGGGAGGGCTTGGGAGAAAAGTGAGGTAGGAACTGGATTGAGGGTCATCCAGAAAGGAGCAGGACGGGAGGGATGGGCGGCAGTGGTCTGGGGCCTGCACTAGCTGTCCTGGAGAGCCCCTCACATCCTGCCCTGCCTTCCCTGGGCTATACCCTCACCTCATTCTCTGCTCTCTCCACAGCTCTGGGAGCCTGTACTCTGAAAGGTGCTGGAGACAGAGCCTGTGAGTATGATCCGGGACTCCAGAGCCCCTAACCCACCACCACCATGGTAGAAAAAGGTGCCAAAGGCATGCTGGTGAGTACAGGGACCAGACTGCAGCGAGGGGGTGGGGGGCATGAGCACCGTCCATTCCTTCTGGGGCCTGCTGTCAGCTGCTGACCCCAACAGGAGGGCCTAGCAGGCTCCATGGGGCCCCAGTTCTGGCACTGCCAGGACTCCTGAGTGCTAGGGCTATCGCAGGCCCAGGCAGGCAGCCCCTCACCCAGTAGGTTAGATACTGCCGCGGTTCGGAGCCCATAGCAGGCAGATTCTGCTACAGAGCCCGAAAGTCATGCTGGGAGGCAGGAGGCACACTCCCCACCCTCATCACAAGATTCCCTGGAGAGCAGGCTGCAGTCCATCTGGCCGGGAGGGCTGTCCTGTGGCTGACACCTCGGCACCCTCATCCTGTGCTCTGTCTGTTGTGGGGAGCATTCCGTAGGGACTGATCAAGGAGTCCTCAGAGACTGAGTTTTCTCTTCTTCCGCTGGAAAAACAGCATAGAACATTTCATGTTGAATCCTCTTGTGAGGTCTTTCAGGACACATCCCTCTCCCCTTTCCCCAAGTCACGGCTCTTCACTGCCCACTGCCTCAGAGCACAGGAGAGGTGGTGAGAAGCAGAGGGCAAGAGCAGGGCCAGCTCATGGACGGATGGCTCATGGATGGACGGAGCAGGCCAGCTCTGGAATCCGAAGGCAGGAAGATACCCCAAGGGTGGTCGTTGTATTCCTTCTCTGGGGATATTGGCTCAAGAACCAGTGAGACTGGGCAGCTGCCCCAGAGGAAGCCAGTGGCTGAGCATGGCCCTGCCCTTGGCTCCTCCCTTCCCCACATGGATTCCCCTGTTGCTGTTCTCATTGGGTGAAAGACTGACTGACCTTGGGTCTCTTGCTGAGCCCTCCACAAACAAGCCTTGTCTCTCACCAGGGATTTCTGGGACTCTTAAGTCCTCGGTCCAGAGAAATGCTGTTGGGGAGGGAGCCCAACAGCTGTGCTCCAGGCTCAGGACCCTCTCTCGTGCGTGGTCCTGATCTTCAGCATCCAGCCCCTCAGGCCCGCTCTGGTCTGGCCCACTGCTGATTGGAACAAGTCTGAATGAATTAGGCTTCTCAAAGTATTCCTGAGTCAGCTGAGCTCTCGAATGCTCAAATGTGGGCAGAGAAGGAGGTCTCCAGACCCGCATACTTGCTAGGGGGGAGTAGATGCCATGATAGGATGTAGACTGGCTTCCTTCTCGCCAGAAGTGTTGGAATTGCCATGGGCCTGTAGCAGAAAGTGGAGTGCAGTTCTGCCCCTCCCTCCATGGAGATTCTGAGTCCTGTGAAACTTAAGAAACCCTCTGAGTACTCGCTGGCTGCTCTGCTTTCTTTGGAGGGTGATGTGGGGTGATGTGGGACCCACGTGGGCAGCACAGAGAGCCTGAATCCCAAGGTCCCAGAACCCCTGCCAGGGCTGAGCTTCCCAGACCCCAGGCTCTGCTGGCTAGCCCGTCTGTGGAAGGGAATGCCGCCTTGGGAGGCCTGTTCCCAGCATCAGGATGTGCCTAAAGATAGCCAGAGCGTAGTTTCCTTCGTGCCCTTTGACCTTTGACATCTGCCCACTGCTGCTGCATCTGAGGCTCCATAGCAGGTTCCCTGGGCGCCCCCAGTGTTTGCTTGAGATTCTCTTCCTGCTTCTTTCTCAGTTCTGCTTATGACCCTGGGCTACACTATTCTCAGCACTCAGTTGGAGCCAGTGCTGCCTCCATGTAGTGCTTGTCTCTGAGGAGTGCCATCCCTCTTAGCTAACCTGGCCAGCTGTACTTGGACTTCATTAGTTGCCCGGGGTCCCCTAAGGTCAGATCATGAAGGATGCTCCTTCTCTAGAGGCCAAGGTGGGGCAGAGCAGAGGGAGCTGAGGGCCATGTGTGTAAATCGGGGGCACTTGGGCCCTCCCAGGTTTGTGACTTCTGTTGCCATCCGTGCCCTGGGACGCGGGAGTAGGCAGCTGGCCCTGGCCATGAGGTCCTCACTTCCATCCCCCTTTGCCTCAGGCTTGGGTGTGATGACATGGGCCCCCTGGGTCTCCTCGGTGCTTACCATGTGTCGTCCTTGGAGCCTCTGCTGGGCTCTCCATGCGGCAGGTTCCTCGTGGAGGGCAAGCCACTTCCCAGCACGTGCCCTGGCCCACATGCCTGCCACACGTGTTCCTGCCCGCCAGTCCCAGCCCAGAATGTCTCTGCCAGGTCAGCTCAACTGCCTCCCTCATGCCTCAGCAGCTGCTAGGACAGGGCCATGCAGGAACCCAGCTGGCCAGGGTGTTTCCAAGCCTGGGAGCAGCTGGGATGCTTGGCGACACCAGGGGCGGGGTGGGGGTGGTTCCTTTCATGGAGACCTAGTGCCTCTATTTATACACATGTAGGGCCGGGTTGACTGGGGCTCAGAGGACAGGGAGCTGGTAGAGAGGAGCCAAGGACAGGAGAGCCCCACTGCTGCTTCTAAGTCGCTTCAGTTGTGTCCAACTCTGTGCGATCCCTTAGACGGCAGCCCACCAGACTCCTCTGTCCCTGGGATTCTCCAGGCAAGAATACTGGAGTGGGTTGCCATTTCCTTCTCCAATTCATGCATGCATGCTAAGTCGCTTCAGTCATGTCCGATTCTGTGCGACCCCATGGACAGCAGGCCACCAGGCTCCTCTGATCACGGGATTCTCTAGGTAGGAATAGTGGAGTGAGTTGCCATTTCCTTCTCCAAGAGCCCCACTGGGTCAGCTTTAATCCCACAGTCTCACACGAAGTCCAACTCAGTCCCCTCCCCTGTGCCTGCTCCCTACGTGTACAGCATCTTGGGCAGAGAGGCCTTGGTGAGTCTTACTGGTCTCTCCCCTCCTCTCTGCAGCATTGGGTGCCTGTGCTACTGGGAAGCCTCATGATGAATAAGAGCAGAGTCACCCAGGGTAGGGCTCCAGATGCTGGAGCATCGAAGTCGTCCTAGAAGGCTTTGAAAGCACCAGAGGCTGCCTGGGGCTGTCCCACCCTGACCTGTTCTGCTATTTGACTAAGGTGTTTAGGTGCTTCTTGTCTGCAGCAGCCATCACAGAGCCTGGCGCACAGTGGATGCTCACCCAGCCCGGGTCCTGGCATGTGGCAAGTGCTCAACCAGTGTGGGCTTGACACATCCTGGGAGCTCAGCAAGCACAGGGTTTGGCATGCACCGGACCCTCCCTTGGTAGAAGGCTTGTCACTTACCAGGCATTCTCCTAGCATGAGTCCTGGCACGTGACAAGTTCTCACCCAGTATGACACGGCACACACTGGGCACTTGCCTAGCACAGTGCCAGGCGCACAGTGCGTGCTCACCCTGCTCAGGGCTGACCATATCCTGGGTTCTCACCTGGTCCAGAATTTGGCATACATGGGGCATTCATCTCATGCAGGACCCAGCAAACCACCAGGGTTCCCTGGCATGGGGCTGGCACACAGTGGGTCTCTCCCAGCACTGGACTTGGCAAACACTGGGTGCCTTCCTAGTGTGGTTTGACACACAGTAGGTCTTCTCCTGTCTTAGACATCAACACACAGTGGGCACACTCCTTAGATGACAAGGACTAACACAGAGGAGCTGCTGTCCTAGCCAGGCCAGCCTGCCTGCACGATGACTGGATGATCCTAGATTCACAACTACAGCCTCCCCAATGAAATGGACAGTATCTAGATCCAGAGGAAAAGGCCCAACCTCCTCAGGCTTCCTCTCTGGACCTAGGACCTACCCTCCATTCCACTTGGCCTCCCTCCGCATCCTGGCCTCCCTGGAGCCCACCGACTCAGCTCTGTGGCCTCCCCTCCCTTCACACAGCTTCCCGGCAGCCCCACCACCCCAGCACGTTGCAGTCCTGCCTCAGCAGGACCTTCCCTCGGAGTCACAGGTCGCAAACAAAGCCCCTCGACTCCTTGGCCCTCTGGAGGAGTGCCTCCTCTTCTTCAGAAAAGTCAGAGATGGGCTTGGGGGAGCCGGCCTCCCTGAGTGGGACTAGAGCAGCTGGATACCACTAATGAGGCCTCATTACGGTCAGGACCCAGCAGGGCTGCTGCCGCCTGCTGTCCCCATGGCCAGAGCCAGAGAAAGCTGTCCAGCCAGGGCTGCCTGTTCTGGGCACCTGGCCCAGGCCAGGGCAGCCAAAGCCCAGAGCCTACCCTGGGTGGAAGTGAGCATTTGGGCATCATGGGTGACTGGGCCTTCCTGGAGCCAGTGGCCCAGCCACGAGCTAGGCCCTCAGTCTGGCCTCGCAGGAAGTCGGCGAAAGTCAGCAGAGCGTGTCTGGGGACCCGGCCTCATGAGGCTGGCCTGGAAGCAGCTCAGTTGCTAGGGTCTGAGGCCATTCTCTTGGGAGACTTGCTTGAGCCAAGATCACTCCCCATCTTCTCTCCCAAAATGGGCATAGTAGCATATCCACGTCAAGGGGCTGTTGGGAGGATTAAATGAGTTAATATATATCAATATGAAGTGTTTAGGACAGCATCTGGCTCACAGTAAGCACTTCATATATATGATCTATTACTATTATTTATAATGCTTACTAGCTTCAAAGATGGGTAGATATGATCCCCATTTTAGAGATACAGAAACTGAGACCAGACAAGTAAAGTAACTTGCCTAAGGAGGGAGATTCACCGGAGCTGGGCTGGAACCCAGCTCTGTCTGACTAAAGACTTTCCCTTTAAACATAATGATGTGGGGACTCCCCTAGTCGTCCAGGGGCTAGGAGTCCGCCCCCAGTGCAGGGGACACAGGCTCGTTGCCGCTGGTCAGAGAACTGAGGCCCCACATGCCACAGAGCAGCTAAGCTATTGCACCACAACTAAAAAGCCTGTGCGCTGCAACTTAGACCCAAAACAGCCCAATAAATATTTTAAAAATAATAATAACAGAAAAGGTTAAAATAACAGAAAAGGTTAAAATAAAATGCCATGTTCCCATTGGGGTCAGCACACTTACCAAACTCACAGGGGAGCTGTCCTTTACATCAGAATTCATGCTTGATCTTAGGTTACTAAGATCCTACGTAGTACCAGACCCTTTGCCCACCCATCAGTTTCCCAAAACTGGAAGCTGAGTCTTCCCAACACCAGGACACTCGTACCCGCCTTCCTGGTCACTGGTTTGTGGTGTCTCAGCACCCACTGGAGACTGGCCAGTGAGTGTGGCCTCAGAGAAGAGGCATTGAGGGTCAGAGTGACAGTCTACGCAGATCACTCAGCACTGTTTCTCAGAGGGACCGCCTCAGGTTCAGCTGACGCAGTGCTCATCCTCAGGGGTCCGTGTTCTGCAGCTGCCCTCTCAGCTAATGCTATCTTTCTTCAGACAGGTGAGAGCGCAGTTCACCAGGCCACCACTCTTTTGCACAGTCAGTCCCATTCTTCTGTGAGGACACATCTACCATCTTGGCTGGCTGGAGATCCCCAAGTCCGGGGGGATTGCTCAGGGCCCATCACCCTCGGCCCTCAGCACTCTGCAGAGTCTGAATGCTCTGGGAGTGCCCTGTGGCTCCATCCCCTTCTCCCTGCCCCTTCACCCTCTCTGGGGCCCAGTGGTACCCAGCCTTGTGACCAGGGGTCCACCCGGTGCCAGGCCTGTCTGCTCAGAAGCATCTGGGCCCAGCCCCCACTCTAGAATGGGAAGGAGCTGCCCTCTGTCTGTCCTGGGCCCGCTCTGCCTCACCTGTGGTTGTGAGTGTGTGTATGTGTCGTTTGTTCCCATCACTTGCTGGGAACGAGGGAGAAACACAACAAGCCCCCCGCCTCACTCCAGCTGTGGAGCCCCCGCGCTGGGGGACATGGGGACAGCCAGAGCGGGAGGGCTGGGGACGGGGAGGCAGAGCTTCGGGAGGAGATGAGGTATAGTAACAGATGCTGCCCAGCAGGCAGTGGAAGAGGCAGGGATTGCATCAGTGTCGCCTGGAGCTGGCGGAAGTGTCGATGAGTGGAGATGCACACACTCCACTCCAAGTGTTCACCCCAGGATGGCGGCGGCTTAGGGACCTGCGGACCCCTCTTCGCCAGAACAGGTCAGTCATTTTCCAGGAGGCCGAGCCCCCTCTCTGGCGCCAGGCAGACTGGGAGGCAGGACTGGGGCTGGGGAGAGGGGCTGAGTGGTGTGTGCCAGGGAGGGGCAGGCACAGCCAGCCAGAGAGGCCGGCAGCAGCAGAAGTGACGCAGAGAGTTGCAAGTGTGCAGAGGAGCAGGAAGAGTTGGCTGTGTGGCGGGGGCGCGGGGGAGGAGAATGGGGGTGTGGGCCCCCCGCCCAAGGACCTGCAGAGAATCTGTTCTGTGCATCCAAGCTGCATTGTCCTAGCTCCCGGGGAGACGGGCCGGAGGTGCCCAGGACTTGCACTAATCAATTCAGCCCCATTGTCTGCGCCATGGCAGTTACTCCCATGGGGAGAGTGGGTGAGGGGGCAGGGGGACTTGGTACAGGGGCTGCGTGGGGAGAATGGGGGAGGGGGCGGGTGAGCGTCTCAGCTGGGAGGTGACAGACCCTGCGGAATGGTCACCAGTGTCCAGGATGAGGGCCTGGGTGGGGTGGGCACCACCGGTGTGCCCTCGTCCCTGGAAGCCGGGTATGGGCGGGGATGGCAGGCACAATGTGGCTGATGGCAGTGAGGGAGAGGGGACTGGGACCTTCTTTCTCTGCAGTGCATCCTGACTTGACCTCCAGAAGGCAAGAGAAGGCATGTCTTCTGGGGAGACCTGGGTTGGGTTTGGGAGTAGCATTATGCAGGGCTGCCCTCCACCCTCAGGACTGCCAGGGTCAGCAACCAAAGCCACTTCCAAAATGCCAGCCTGCTGTCAGCTGACTGGGGCAGAGGCTGCTCATGGCTGCCACAGTGCGAGGCAGGACTGCTGGGCTCCAGGGCAGAGACAGTGCCCACCCAATGGTCCTGTCACTACTCCCAGGGTCTGGAGTGGAGCCTGGCATGCCTGGGCTGCATCTCCTGTCCGGCATCCACAATATTGGCGGGTCAGTACTGGCAGAGCCCTCTGCAGTCAGGGCTCTGGGATGAAACAGCACCGGGCACGTCCTTGCTTCTCTCACTTCCCATGTGAGGGTCTGATCTCCTGAGAGGTGCCGTGAGGTTTTCCTTGAGGCAGGAGACACTCATAGCCCCTGCATACTGCTCGAGTCTGGGGAAGATTTTCCCATGGTCCCGCTCCTCCAGCCCGGCCCTTGACTCTTTCACGTGTCTGGATCAGGGAGCCAGTTGAAGGATGAAAGGCTCTCTATTGCAAGGCAGGTGCTACCTCAGAAAGACAAGTTGGGGAACCAAGAACCAGGGGGTGTGAGGTCATGGGGTCTTCCGGGGCAGCCACGGTTTACGGTTTACAGTCATGGCTGTTCTGCCTGAATTCCCCCACTGGAGCTCAGAGAAGGCTGGCAGGGATCTGGATTTGGCTCAAGGTCAGTCTGGGATGTAGGGTCTTGCCCATTCGCCTCTGCAAAGTTTCTTAGATAGGACTTCATCCCTTGAGCAAACCCTGGGGCTGCAGAGTCCTGGACAAGAAGCCTGCCGGCTCCCAGCAGGGCCTGCCCGTCCTGGCCTGCTCCAGGAGTCCTCAGTGTCCACTGAGAGCAGAAGAGAGAGCGCTCGATTCACAGAAATATCCAGTGGACACTGCTCTCGGAGGGCGGGAGTTGGTAGCCTGAGCACAGCCATCTCCCAGAGTAGAAAGCTGGGCTGCCTCTGAGTCTGGACACGAAGAAGGGAGGGGCACCCCTGCGGTGCGGGGTGGGAGGGCGGCCTCTGGGAGTGGGTTCTGCAGCATTGTGTCCTCTTTACACTTTGCTGTAGTTTCCAGTTTTTTTTTTTTAATGATAAGCTCATAATTGGAAAGAAAGCAATACCATTTTTTTTAAGTTGTTTAGAAAGCCAGTGGGAGCTAATGGAAAATACAGGAGAGAGTCAGAAATAGCAAATTCCAGGCAAGGCAGAGCTACAGAATCTAAGGAGATCTATTGAGGTTGTCTCTCTACCCCTGATTTAATAGCTAAGGTCTCTCAATGCTGAGAGTGGAAGAGGTTCGGACTTCTGGGGGTGCAGGTTCTAGAATGCTAGGATGCTAAACCCCAGTGTGAGATCCCCGCCCTGCCAAGTCCAAGGTGTGGGGGGAGCTCTGGTTTCTGCCCTCAGAGGTGAACTGCCTGATTTCCAGGAGCTCACCCAGAGCAGATAATAAAGAGAGGGCAGAGGGCTAGGGAAAGGACTTACATAAGCAACTGCTCAGAGTGGCTTACCCTCCTGGGCAGGGATTGGGTGGGAGGTTGTGAACCCAGGACAGGTCACAGATCCTTGTGCAGGCATGGACACTGCTGCCTCAACGAATGCTTCGAAGGACAGGGGTGCTGAGGGTCTTAACGTGTGTATGTCTTTGCATGGCAGATGTCGTGGAGGATGATCAGCCAGCCCACCCACACAGCTGTGGAAGGCACGTCCCGTAGCCTGCATCCTGCTGGGCCTGGGGAAGCGTGGGCACAGGGCGAGGCAATCTCCACCCTGGAGGTCACGCATGAGGCCCATGACGACCAGTCAGAGGTGAGGGTAGGGGCTATCTAGGGAGCCCGAGGAGGAGGGACCAACCCCGAAGGCCACCAGGCCCCTCTGGTTTAACTCAGCAGCCAGGTGTGAGCGAGGGAGGGAGGTTGGGAGGGCATTGAGGGGCAGCAGACAGTGGGAGATGGGTGATGGGCAGCAGGAGCCTGGAGCCTGGCCAGTCGGCGGGGCCGAGGTGGGTTAGGCAGATGGGCCACCAATCTGGGTCAAACCCGTGAGCACAAAGAGATTCTTTTGTGGGCACCTCAGAGCCAACAACCTCTGCAGGGACTGTTACTATCAGTGACAAGCCTTCCACCCAGCAGGTCAAAAAGAATGGAGGGCTTAGAATGAGGAAAATTATGCAAGGAGAAAAAAACTTGTGCGGCATTGGAAAAGTCTCGCCAGCCTTGGACATTGCTGTCCAGGAAGGAAGTGGAGGGGAGTCTCCAGGGGAGGACTGGAAGGGAACTAGAGCCCCCAGGAACCCCCTCAGAGGGACCCTGCCCTCCAGTGTCCTTGGAGGAAGGTGGGCTTCCTCTGTCCTTTGCTGAGCGCCACGCCCTCACCAGTCAGACTGGCTGCCCATAGCTTGCACTGGAATGAAAAGTCAGAGGCCTGGCTGTGGCGCAGGCCCCCTCAGCAGCATTCCCTCCACAGCTCCTGAATGGGGCTCTGCAGGGCTGGGGTACAGGGCCAGGGAGCAGCCGCTGGTGCTGCACCATAGTAGGTGCTTGTAAACCTCCGTGAATGCATGCACACAGGCTCAGCTGGTCGGCCCTGGGTGCCCTGTGAAGGGTTCCTGGTACTGGGCCCCAAAACTCCCAGGACCATGTGAGGCTCAGGGTCTCCTCTGGGCAGTGCTGGGTGGGAGGTGACACCTTTGGGCAGGACAAGGGTGCCTGGGCAGTAGTGCCCACATCCTGTGCAAGCCCGAAGTGGCCCCCCAGATGCGCCTGCTGAGAGCAAAGGGTGCATGGCTAGGAGGGCCACCATCAGGTGCTGGGGCCTCTGGGCCTGCCTTCCTGGAAGGCGCAGGCTCGGTGACACCATCCACCACTCTGCGCCTGTGGGTCAGTGTGAGTCCAGCAGCATGTCAAAGCCCCTGGCCCATTTGTTTGCCTTCGCGCCTTGAATCTGTCTCTTTCAAACTGAGGGTCAGTGTCACTACCGCGCTGTCCCTCAGGTAGGTCGTGTGGCTATGTCACTGATCCTGGGTGTCCGCAGGGACACCTGGCCATTTCTCTCAGGAGAACAGGCCCCCTCTGGGAGACTGTCTCTGCCACTCAGGGACTCTCTGGGCTTCTCTGTTGGTGACTCTCGGGGTCCTCCCTTGCCTCTGAGACTCCTCTGACCCCTCAGGCTCTGGCTCAGGGTGGCTGACTCAGTGGGAGGGGTGGAAGGGACGTGGCATGGGGGATGGGTGTGCTCACACTTATAAAGGGCCTCAGTGGGTTAGTCCCAGCTGTGGGGTTGGGGTCCTCAGTGGGGCTTCGGGCCACCCATTCCAGCTCCGCAGCTCCCCAGGCAAACCTGCATCCTTCCTTTGGGGCGAACCCCCTCATTAGCCCTTCCAGACCAGCCCCCTCTTCTGCAGCCCATGCTCTCTCAGCTCAGAGACCCTTTTCCGGAGTCACTCCCTCTAGTTCCCCTGAGGGAATTGGAACTAGAACTCCCCAGAGTCTGTCTTCCAAGTCTGACATGGTGCCTACAACTCTGGTCTCCTTCCCCAACTCATGGGCAGCATCTCCCCCTGCCCAGCCCAGGTCAGCTTCCCCAGGTCTCCCCTCCCCTGTCATGGGCAATCAGAGGCGGCTCTCCTGGCCCTCCCATCCTGAGTCCCAGAATGCCTTCCTCAGGTCAGGCCTAGCTCAGTTGCTTTCCCCTTCTTGTACCTACAGCCCTGACCACCAGGTGCCCCCTAGAAAAAGCCTTTAGCTGGGGGAGGGGTCCAGTGTCCCCTCCCCCCCAGCCAGCTGCCATGGGCAGCATGCTCAGCCTGGTGATATGGTGGCGGCGGGTTGGGGGGCTGTCTGGACACAGGCCCCTTTGTGCCCAAGCCAGCTTGGCTGCGTGGTATGAGGCACAGCTGCTCCCAGATCCTCACCCAGAGGGGAGAGGGGAGGCTTTGGAGGAACTGGGGCTGGGGGGCTCTCAACTCGAGCTCCGTCTCAGTGTCCCACCTCTGAGATGCTGGCAGTAGCTCTTCAGGTGGGCTGGTGCCCCCAGCACCCGGGGGCTGGTGAGGGAGGCCCCACTTGGCACCCTCTGGCAGCCACTCTTCCCTCTGTGCTCCTCCGCCAGGCCTGCCTGCGGCTTCTGCCTGCAGAGGGAAGCCCAGGGTGGGGGTGGGCTCCTGGAGGGTCCACGGTGTCCTCACTGGGGAAGGCCTGAAGGGTCAGGCCCCTCATGCCGATGCCTTGCTGATGGTGGCTTTTCTTCTGTCTGCACAGAACGGTGCCGTGCCCAGCGAGGCCACCGAGAAGAACCATAGCTGCCAACAGGGCAACTGGCGCAACCAGATCGAGTTTATACTGACGAGTGTGGGCTATGCCGTGGGCCTGGGCAATGTCTGGGACTTCCCATACATCTGCTATCGCAACGAGGGAGGTACCCAGTGAGCCCAGGGCAGGGACCACCCATGTGGATAGAGCCCAGCCACCAGGGCCCAGCCACCCCCTTCCGGCACAGACCCCACTCAAGACAAGCTGGCCTCTGGCCCTAATCTCCTTTGCCCCCACCCCTGGCTTAGGTACCCTTTACCCCCTGACCTTGGCAGCCTGATCCCTCGAGGGGAGAAAAGTTAGGAAAGCAACCCAACCTCCCAAGTCTCAGTTTTATACCCCCTGCATTTCAACAGCTGCCCGCAAAATGAGTCGGGGGATATTTGAGGACCCCATCAGCTAATGTATGTGAAATTGCTTGGTTAAATCATCAATTCTCACCTGAACATGGCAGCTCTAGGACCTGGGTTCAGCTCAGAGCAGATTTCCTGGGAACCCCTGTCAAGTTCAAAGCAGGCCGTAGGCAGTGTGCCTCAGACTGAGGCTCCAGTCCAGGGCATGGCACACCCTCCTGGAAGCCCAGCCAATTGCACAGGTTCTGCTGTCGGGTTCTGAGCAGGAAAAGGGTGTGCTCCCCCAAAGCCGGCCCTGAGCCAGCCCTCTCCCTGCCCACCAGCCTTCCTGATCCCCTACCTCATCATTCTCATCTTCTGCGGGATGCCCCTCTTCTTCATGGAACTCTCCTTAGGCCAGTTTGCAAGTCAGGGCTGCCTGGGGGTCTGGAGGATCAGCCCCATGTTCAAAGGTGAGGCCCGGATGGGGTACACACACATACGGGCCTCTGGGGGCCGTGCTGACTCCCCCCATCTGTATAAAGACTGCCAGCGCCTATGGAACCTGGGTGTTGGCCCCAGGTCCACATCAATGGCCAAGGCCAGGGACACATGCTGGAATCCATTGTTTACTTGGCCTCTACCCTCTCCTCCTACCACGTGCACACAGAAAAGCCCTTTGCCCGCTCCCCCACTTAGCCCCCAGCTCGCTTCTGCCAAGGCCTGTGAGTATGATCCGGGACTCCAGAGCCTCTAACCCACCACCACCATGGTAGAAAAAGATGCCAAAGGCATGCTGGTGAGTACAGGGACCAGACTGCAGCGAGGGGGTGGGGGGCATGAGCACCGTCCATCCCTTCTGGGGCCTGCTGTCAGCTGCTGACCCCAACAGGAGGGCCTAGCAGGCTCCATGGGGCCCCAGTTCTGGCACTGCCAGGACCCCTGAGTGCTAGGGCTATCGCAGGCCCAGGCAGGCAGCCCCTCACCCAGTAGGTTAGATACTGCCGCGGTTCGGAGCCCATAGCAGGCAGATTCTGCTACAGAGCCCGAAAGTCATGCTGGGAGGCAGGAGGCACACTCCCCACCCTCATCACAAGATTCCCTGGAGAGCAGGCTGCAGTCCATCTGGCCGGGAGGGCTGTCCTGTGGCTGACACCTCGGCACCCTCATCCTGTGCTCTGTCTGTTGTGGGGAGCATTCCGTAGGGACTGATCAAGGAGTCCTCAGAGACTGAGTTTTCTCTTCTTCCGCTGGAAAAACAGCATAGAACATTTCATGTTGAATCCTCTTGTGAGGTCTTTCAGGACACATCCCTCTCCCCTTTCCCCAAGTCACGGCTCTTCACTGCCCACTGCCTCAGAGCACAGGAGAGGTGGTGAGAAGCAGAGGGCAAGAGCAGGGCCAGCTCATGGACGGATGGCTCATGGATGGACGGAGCAGGCCAGCTCTGGAATCCGAAGGCAGGAAGATACCCCAAGGGTGGTCGTTGTATTCCTTCTCTGGGGATATTGGCTCAAGAACCAGTGAGACTGGGCAGCTGCCCCAGAGGAAGCCAGTGGCTGAGCATGGCCCTGCCCTTGGCTCCTCCCTTCCCCACATGGATTCCCCTGTTGCTGTTCTCATTGGGTGAAAGACTGACTGACCTTGGGTCTCTTGCTGAGCCCTCCACAAACAAGCCTTGTCTCTCACCAGGGATTTCTGGGACTCTTAAGTCCTCGGTCCAGAGAAATGCTGTCGGGGAGGGAGCCCAACAGTTGTGCTCCAGGCTCCCTGATGTCTGGGACACCTGACCTCAGTGAAACAATAAAATTCTTGTTCTGAAAGCCCCTGAGATTCAGGAGTCTGTTAACAGCCTAGACTAGCCTAATCCTGTTCTAAGTCTCAAGAAGGTCACATGTCCTAAGAAGACATGTCCTATTATTGTGGAATAGGTTCCAAAGAACCTCCCAGATTGAAGCAAAGCAAGGGATTACTCTTTGCACCACAGTGTTATTGGCTTCAAAAACTACAAATTTTGCTCCCACCAAAGATGCATGACCAAGTTCAAGTTGGTCTAGATACCACATAATGGATGTTCTTCCATTAGCATGCTGAACCAGTTTCTCTAAGGACTTGGTGGTATGGAAGTTTAAACATTTTGTTCTTACTACACATGTCCCTAACATCTTTCAAAAGTGGAAAATATAATATCCATTATTTCAGTTTCTGAGGGACTTTGTGCTTTCCTACTGCTATGCTGACAGGAAGGGTCAGGTGCAGGCAGAGTCTTCTGTGTGCCCTAGGAGACCAGGTCAACTCACAGTGTCTTGGAAGGATAGAAGCCACCCTTGCCATCTTCTCCAGCCCTGGTCACCTCCAGAGCTCAGGACAGAGGGGACCTGAGGGCAGCGAGTTTCCATAGGCAACACAGCAACTGTGACGAGGAGAAAGCCTGGGATCTTTGCACTCTTCCCAGAGTAGCTAAAGCAAGGGTTTGGGATTCATCAAGTCAAGGAGAAGGAGGAAGAAGAGGAAAAGGAGGGACAATGAACAGACAGGATGGAGGATGGACACACGAAAATTATTTTTTAATGAAGTAATTCTTTTCACTGCCTAGGCAAATGAATTCTGTGAAATTCTTCTATAAAAAACAGTACACTGTTTTGTTTTTACTTAGTTATCACCATCATTAGGTTTTGATGCAAGTGGAAATTTACAATAAAATGAAAACAAATAGCATCAAGGATCACATACAATTCTATGATAAGGTGATTTGTAATTCAGGCAAAGTACTGCTTGAGGCTCACATCTTGATTTCCCACTCCAGTTGCTGGTGATGCTATTTAAGGAAGCAGGAAATATACAGATGAGGAGAAAAATAACTATCACTAGGGTAAAAAAGACCATTATAAGAATACAAATAACAAATTTATAATGTATTGCAATACAAATAAGCAGTATTTTTAGTATTAAAGCTGCATTTGCATTGTTTAGTAACAAATGTGATTGAAATACATCAGAAACATGTTAAAGTTGTATGAGTCACATACATACAGTGTCACAGTTCACATGAAGGTGTACTGGGAATAAGCCATCTGAAGGTCATGTGTCCAGATCTGAAACTATCAAAGGCCTTTCAAGCAAACTTCCTGGTTCAGGAAAGAAGCTCAAAAAGCTGCCCCATCTAGGTCCATCTGACTTGACTCCACATTTGGTTTTCAAAATAAGCTATAATCTTCTAAAGGAGAGCATAACGTAGACTGATGTAAACAGGTACTATACAAGAAGGAACTTTTCCATTGGCACAGAAGATTTACATGAATACTTTCCCAAATATTATATTTGAAAGGATGGGTGAACCACACATTTATAATACTGGCAGAAATAACACTTTAGCACTGAGAGAAAGGACATATAAAAACTACTGATGCACATTAGTAATAGCACCAGTCACCTCCTTCCTTTTCCTATTTCGTGCCAATTTGAGGTTTTAGGCTAAAATTTCAGGTATGTCTTATTTCTATTCTTTTGGACTCTCTAATGTTTGCCATTCTATAAAACATGCTCCACTCTTAAAGGACTTGGTAATAAAATGTCACGTGCCAATTACTTGCCTTAAAAGACAGTTTTATCAGCTACCCAAATTATATATACCCAAATCATGGAGAAACATCACAGCTATCAACAAGGATTTGGGCCATAAAAGAGTCAAAATTTGGCTTTCTCCAATGTCAATGTCAGCCTGGCCAAAGCTTGCTTGCTTTTTATCAAAGTAGTTATTTTGGATTTGGATTTCTTCTTGTAGTCAGAGAGGATTGTGACTAACAGGGATCTTGTGCCAAGGTCAAGCTACAGGTGTATACACATGGGTGCCCGGCTCTGAGCTGAATGAACCAGCCTCTCATCCCATTCATACTTACAGTTTAAAGGGCAAGAAAGAAATGGACTGCCTATATGTTGCTTCAGGATGAGATCTCTAAGCAAGCTGGGGTCATTCGCCAAGAGATGAATAATAAAAGGAAGAAACCAAGGAAACAGTAATTGGAGGTTTAAAACTTTCGAATCAGTGCATAGGCACTCCTCTCTCACTTCTCACATAGAAAGCACTGCCCCCATTCCCAAATGAATAGTTTTATTTAATTTATCTATATTGTAATATAGAGAGACATGATAATTCTTTTTTATTTTTTGAATCAAAATCATTTTCATGCACTTGACTTCTGGATTAAATATATTATCTATAGGAAAAATCTATCAAATCCTATTGAAATGTTAATCTAACTTTAAATTATTTGGGGCTGATATTCTTCCTTTAGTTTTATATTCAGTAAATAGTGAAAATAAACCTAAAGGCTGCAAGTAGAAAGAAATTAAATTAGACGGTGTACTTCATTCCCCAGAATATTAAAAAAAAAAGTAAAATCAGTCCCCAAAGTCACATACTTCAGCTTTTAATGGATCCACATCTCCAAACTGTTTTCTCCTCTTCCTCTGATTTTTTTTAAGTATTGCTGAAAAGAAAATATATTTTTCTTATTATATAGTAAAATACTATCTGGAATCCAACTGGGAATTAGTGTTACATTTATAAAAAGCCAAAGTAAATTTTATTTTTTCATTCCATCCCCTTTAGTAAAATACTCCACTTAAAAAATTATTTCAACATGGGGGAAGTTGAGGGAAGTATTGTACAGAAAAGCCAAACTACAAAACCTTTTTGGTTCCATACTGTTGAGCTTGAATTCAACAATCTTTGACAATTTTGTTTCAGCTGATGGAAAAGAAACTGAATTCAGTGCCAGGAGGGCAGGTTCAGCTTGGCTCTGCTCCAGAAAGGTTTCCTGATATCAGGGAGATGGAGCTGCCTCCCTGGAGACACCACTAGAAAGGATGCTATGGGTGAGGAGGTGTCAGAGCCCCAGATGGTGAGAGGAGCTAGAAATGAGCACAAGCCAAGGTTTTCCTAGCCTGTCAGCTCTGTGATGGCCTCAAACTTGAGGTCGTGTTGCTGTCTAAAGAGGAAACCTATTGGCAACTCTTAATGTCACCACACTGGGGGATGAGACTAAGTCTCAGGCATTCACAGATGCTTTCACTAGTATGTGGAATCTAAAAAAATAAAATGAATAAATATTGTAAAACAGAAACAGACTTATACAGAGAACAAATTAGTGGTTACCAACTGGGAGGGGCAAGAGAGGGGAAGGGGATAAGAGGTACAAGCTACTGCAGACAGAGGGGAAAGTTAACACATTCTTTTGGTATATTCTGTAGGTATAAAATCTACAAGATACAAGGATGAAATGTACAGCATAGGGATATAACCAATATCTTACAATAACTTAAAATGGAGTATAATCTATAAAAATGTTGAATCAACCCTATTGTACATCTGAAACTAATACAGTGTTTGACATCAACTATACTTCAATTTTATTTTTTATTTTTATTTTTTTTATACTTCAATTTTAAAAGGGTCATTCAGCAGTTGAGTGCATTTAGCTTTGAAATGAAACGATAGGGCATAGGATGGCTTTCTCCATCTTGAAACTATGTTATCACAAAGGACAGATCTCTGGATAGTATCCTAGCCCCACCCAGAAGCATCTCCACCTCTCTCTGGAGACTCACAGACCATGCTGTCTTTGGCAGAGTCCAGGGGCATGGATGGCAAAGGTTCTTTGGGTTCTGTATTATGTACCTTGTAGAATGCTCAGTGAAACACTCACTGGTCATGGTGATTGGTTCCAACTGTGACTTAAGCAGAGCCAGTTGGAGTACTTTCCAGGAGTTTGGCCAGAGTGAGGAGGAAAAGCTTTCTCTCTCTCTACAGGGATTGTTAAACTGATAAAATGTGAGTTGGGGCTGTTGAAAGCCATTGAATCAGCATCATGGAGA